TTCATCCTAGAGAATTTTGACTCTGTTCGTTTTGAAGTGAAGCGAGCCTGTTTTGAAGTTAACTTGGAGGCATCCTGAGTTTGCGTTGGCTTTGGGTGGGTAATATCAACATTTGGTTAGCTGTCACTTCATTCGGATGCCGATGCCCGCCCCGACTCCAGATTCCTGACTCGTTGCGACGGTTTCGAGTGCAAATGAGTTTGCGTTGACAGCCTGAAATGGCACACCTGTTGAGGCAGCGACGCAATAAAAACAGCCTGATAAAATTAAATATTTGTGAGGTGGCTTGAATCAACCTTTCGCTGATTGCTCATACGCACTGTGGGCAGGAAAGGCTCAGGCACCAGCTGAAGGACAAACAAAATATGCTGTACTACAATTGTAGCTACTGTTTGGTCGGTCCTTAAAATTATTCTTAACTGAAAGGATCCTAGGGGCGTGAATCATTATTCAGGATCCGCTCATTTAAACGCCCAAAGCCTCAAATTTCGATATAATATTGTCCAGGGTATTTAAAACTGGCAGTGCTTTAATGTACATATGACGTTTGTTCGCTCGCATTTAAGAAATGCTTTGCAGCTGAAGGCCCAATCTGTTGCCACTTGTCTGAACAGGGTCGGGTCTCGAAAAAAAGAGCCGTAAAGACAAGTTCAAGTGCAATCGCAAGATGCACAGTGGGTGACGTTTTTTATATGTGGAATGTTCAAGAATGTTTTCTGAGGCTTTGTGGCCTGTAAGTTTGTGAAGGTCTAAGCTGTAGCCTTTCAGAATTTTCTTAGTGTTCAGAACGTGATCAGAACCAGACACCAAGTTACGCCGCCGTAATCATAACCCTGGCGGATCGCGGCAAGAGGTTAATAAATACGAAACAGAACCCAACAGAATTCACGCGGTACATAAAACAGTCCATTTGAAGGAGGGGTCATACTCGCAGTTAGCAGTGTGAACGTCAAATCATTAGCATGGGAGGCGTCGAACCCAAATCTGTAGACACAATTGTCACACAGTCCACAAGTACTGCACACTTTGCGTTCCCTGTATATAGACAATAATTTCTGAAAATAAATCAGTTTGAATTAGCAACTCGTCTCAGTAACTAAGAACTCTAATAAACTCAAGCAAAATATATTGATAAAATAATAAACGAGAAGGGACGTGCGAGAGGCTTCTTTCGCGTCACAACTTTTATACCCGGTACTCAGTACTACATCTGTACCTTAGTGGTTCTTTTTTACATTTTACATTTTTTCTTCATCTGTCAAATATAAGCTGCGGGACGGGGTGGGTTAGGCCACTGGAACTTAATTTCTTCCTTGTGGCAATAATAATGATCCAATCGGATCCCAATATGGTGATCTGATACATATGGTCATTCCCTACGGAATGGCGCTTTTAGTTGTCTTTTATCTTCAAAATTTTAGCTTTTGGAGGGTTTCGCTCTTTTGCGGGGCGGAAGGGGGCGGGGATAATTTTTGAAATACACTGTAACAGTCTGGATGCAAAATTTGGTGGCTCTAGCTTTCATAGTCTCTGAGATCCAGGCGCTCATAAGGACGGACAGACAGACATGGCTCAATCGACTCGGCTATTGATGCTGATCAAGAATATATATACTTTATGGCGTCGGAAACGTTTCCCTCTGTGCGTTAAATACAACCGTTATTCACACAAATACAATATACCCTATTTACTCTTCGAGTACCGGGTATAAAAACAACAAAGCGAACGAGTTTTTTTTATAAATGAAAACATAACCATACATAAATTTAAAACATATGAATATGATATATTAACTACTTGGGACCTATTGCATTCTCCATGCTAGATTGGTCGTTACACCCACTGTGCGCTGTGGCATGCCCTCCATCTCGTTACAGTGACTTCGTGCTCTTCACGTGCTAACGCCCATTGGCCGACGGGCCAAGTCAAGATGTGCGTCGGAAGTCTCGTTGGTGCCATTTTTGCTTTATTTACTGGAAAATTTGTGCAAGAATTCTCTACTGATGTGAGCAGTATTGTCTGATATGGCTAATTTAGAGGAAGCACTCTCAGTGTCCGGGTAATTCAGCCTTCTGTGTTAGCTGTTGTTAATTGAGCTAAGGCTTTTAATTAACGAGAAGGGACGTGTGAGACGCATCTTACGCGTCACAACTTTTATACCCGGCACTCAGTACTACATCTGCACCTTAGCGGTTATTTGTCAAATTTTACATTTTTTCTTCGTCTGTCATCTACATCAACAACACTACCCACGCCAACACGGTCCTTTTGACCTTTAGACCACCCCCTCCCTATTTACTCTTCGAGTACCGGGTATAAAAAGTTAGGGCAATTAAGAGACTGTTGCCGTTTGCTAATTAAATAAGCAAACAGCAGCTGAGACTCCTGTCACAGTTTAGATCCAAAGTTGACTTAATTTGAAAGTGGCAATGCAGTAACATCTGTTCCAGCCGAGAATCGATGTTTCCCAATGACTGACGCTCTCGGCCTTGTGGCTAGTGGCTCCTTCACCTGAATAGTTTGCCAAATAGAAGAATACAATAAACTTGATTGACCAATTCCAACTTGAAACGAGTACGAATGTTTGTGATACGCTTCTTTAATACAGAGTACTCAGTATAGACTGTATCTTAGTGGTTTTTTTTTTTCGAATTTTACATTTTAGATTATTTCTATATCTTTTATCTACATATACATCTACATATACATCTACTACACTTCTCCCTCGCAAACGCCCTTTTACCTCGCCACCCTCCCCCAGTGTCGAACAAGGCATGACAACAAAGGTGATGGAGGTAGGGGTGGGGGTGGCCAGCAGCTAATTTTCGCCCTTTTGTGGGGAGGGAAGGGGGCGTTGCTAAATTGTGAATAAAAATTGGTTGACGATAATTACCTGCACAAATGACTTTTTATACCCGGTAAATAGTTTATATTGTACTTGTGCATATATATGTATATTCTTGATCCAGAATCAATAGCCGAGTCGATGTATCCATGTCTGTCTGTCCGTTGGGCTTGTTGCACCCAGAGTCCTGTATGCTCACACTGTCACAAGTGTATTTCAAATTCCGCCCCTGCAATGGGCGAAAGTCTCCCACAGCCACAATTATGAAGAAAACTAAGAAACCTATGTTGTAGGGAAGGACCATATCTATCAGAGAACCGAACTGGGATCAGATTGGATTATTATTATAGCCAGAATGAAACCCATCCCGATCAGAAGTTTTTTTAAAGTTGTTTGCACATTCTCTCTCACTCTGTTACGTCTAGTGTGCTGGTGTTGGCGAGGGGGGCGAGCTAAAACAGCGTGTTGGCGTAAAAAGTGATTTGGATGTAGAACAAATGTAAAATTAAAGGAGAAGGGACGTGTGAGACGCTCTTACGCGTCACAACTTTTATACCCGGCACTCAGGACTACATCTAGATGTAGAAGACATCGCCAACCACTGTTGGCCACTGTTTCCGCAACTCCTCGCAACCAGTTCGGAATCAAAATCTCGAAATAAAAAGCCAAGAGCTGCTGGTTCGACCGAGTCGGAATTCAAATCAATTTAATCTCTTCTTCTTTTAAATTTCGATATTCACCTATTAAATGCATGTTCTTCCTCTTTCTCTATCGTATTCACATATTACATGTATGTTCTATAGCAACAAACTTCTGTGAGTATGTCGTAAATGCAACAATTCAATATCTTAATGCTACAAATTCATTTTACTTAAACAAATTACTAATTGCTCCCGGTCATAAGCCCTATGCGCTAATTTGGCTTAAAAAGCCACCAAAACTGGTCATTGGGACAATAGTGCATCTGCACCTCAGCGGTGATTGGTCAAATTTTAAATTTTTTCTTCATCTGTCATCTGTCATCTACATTTACAACACTTCTCACACCAACACGCTTGCCGCCCTTCCCTAGACCCACATACTGCAGACTCGCGGCAGAGGCAGAGGCAGAGGCAGCGATCGCACACAAACAAAAAAACAAATATAAGCTGCGGGATGGGGTGGGTTAAAAGTCGGTAGAGGCATCGGCAGGGGGTGGGCAGAGGCAGGGGCCGAGTGAAGCAGAAGCAGAGTGTGAATGAGAGAATGTAAAAAGAACAACAAAAGCTGCGGGACAGGGTGGGTTTAGCCACTGGAAATTAATTTCTTCATTGTGGCTATAATAATGATCCAATCGGATCCCAATTTGAAGATCTGATAGATCTTGTCATTCCCACCGGAATGCATTTTTTTAGTTTTCTTTTATCTTTAATATTGTAGATTTGGGAGGTTTTCGCTTTTTTGCGGAGGCGGAAAGGGGCGTGGCTCATTTTTGAAATACACTGGTTTCAGTGTGAGCATACAGCAGTCTGGATCCAAAAGTTGGTGGCTCTAGCTCTTACAGTCTCTGAGAACTAGCCGACAAACAAGACGGACAGACGGACGGACGGACAGACGGACAGACAGACAAGGCTCTATCGACTCGTCTATTGATGCTGATCAAGAATATATATGCTTTATAGGGTCGGAAACTTTTCCTTCTGTGCGTTACATACTACCGTTATTCCCCACAAATACAATATCCTTTTTACTCTTCGAGTACCGGGTATAAAAAAAAGTACAACGTACAGATGTACTACTACTACCTTCTCGTTGTTAATTTATTCACGAAATGTATCATGCATATTCCTCTGATATATCTCTCCCCCTCTTTGATAGGCGCTTGATGAAGGTGTTCAAGTAATCCTAGTTCGTAAATTAATTTTTAACTATTGCGCCTCGTTTTGTGAACTGCGGCAGTCAGCTGCTTCTTGACCAGAATATGTCCATCATTTATTAACATACAGATGTAAAGCAATGTGTAAGCGCCATCGAATTCAACTGGCAGGCGACTGAAGACTTTAGGCGTCGAGGGTGCCAGAAGTTCGGAGCAGAAGGTTCTGCCCGAGGTGCTGAACAACTGTTACCCAAAACCTAATTGATTCCGTTGACGAGTTCGCACGTCTCTCTCATAAATTTTCAATGGCAGGCGATTGATGAGCTTATAATCACTCCACGGCGGACATATAAATTCCAACAGTCTGCAGTCCATGTTGAACAATCGGAACTTCTGCGAAGTAAGGATGGTGCTGCGTAAAGTGTTCCCGGCCATGTACACACTATCGGAGGAGACACCGGCCTGCTCTCGGAATGCGACTCTCTACTTGCTGCGCTGCATCTTTCTAATGGGGGTGCGACAGCCACCCGCACGATTCTTTATAGTCTACTGCCTGTGGTCTTTTGCGCTGAACCTCAGCTCGACGTTCTACCAGCCCATTGCATTCCTGACTGGATACATCAGCCACTTGTCTGAGTTCTCACCAGGGGAGTTCCTCACCTCGCTGCAAGTGGCCTTTAACGCCTTGTCCTGCTCCATCAAGGTTCTGATCGTCTGGGCATTCGTCAAGCACTTAGACGAGGCCAATAATATTTTGGACGAAATGGATAAGCGTCTCACCAAACCAAGCGAACGCCTCCGTGTCCATCGCGCCGTCTCCAGAAGCAACCGCATATTCTTCTTCTATATGGCCGTGTACATTCTCTATGCCACAAACACGTTAATTGCGGCCATCGTGATGGGAAAGCCGCTCTACCAGAACTACTATCCGTACCTGGACTGGCGCTCCAGTTCCTGGAACCTGGGTCTGCAGATGGGACTGGAGTACTTTGCTATGGCCGGTGCCTGCCTGCAGGACGTCTGCGTGGACTGCTATCCAGTGAACTTTGTCCTAGTGCTCCGTGCCCACATGTCAATCTTTGCGGACCGCCTAAGACAGTTGGGCAAGGACCCTGATGTGAGCCACGAGAAGCGCTACGAGCAACTAGTCCAGTGCATTCAAGACCACAAGACCATTCTTCGGTAGTTTGAAAACATCCATTAATTAAGAAGTTGTTTCTTAAATCTAATCTGCTGACCCCTTGCAGCTTTGTCGATTGCTTGCGACCCGTGATTTCGGGAACCATTTTTGTGCAATTTCTGGTGGTGGGACTGGTACTTGGATTCACGCTCATCAACATTGTGCTATTTGCCAATCTAGGCTCGGCCATTGCCGCCCTGTTCTTCATGACCGCAGTTCTCCTGGAGACTACTCCGTTCTGCATTCTCTGCAATTATCTGACGGACGACTGCTATAACCTGGCGATCGCTCTTTTCCAGTCAAACTGGATCGATGGCAAGCAGCGCTACAAGAAGACGCTTATGTACTTCCTGCAGAAGCTTCAGCAACCCATCACCTTCATGGCCATGAACGCTTTTCCCATTTCTGTGGGTACCAACATTATTGTAAGTATCCATAATTAATTTCCGTGGACTTTATGTATTCGAACAAAGGTTTCTTCGTAGGTCACCAAGTTTTCATTCTCAGTGTTTACTCTGGTCAAGCAAATGAATATTGCGGAGAAACTCTCCAAAGCTGATGAGGAAGACAAATTAAATTAGCAAGTGAGCTTTAAGTTCGATTATTTCTCTAACAGACTAATTGTTCTATGTATTAAAATTGAATTTTCTTGATTGTTTAAACTGCTTTAACTACTTGAAGGCATGAAGCAAACGCAGAGAAGCAAGCATTGGACGTAACTTTAGCAACTTGTTGATCAACTTTATGCTGTTAGAAGGTTAATTGGTTTCAAGCCTAAAAGTAAATAAAGAAATATATTTCGGAACAAAATCGCTCTCGGGTATGCAAAAGTATCGATCTGACCTATATATATATAGTGTCTTTTGTGTTGTTTGTATTTGTTAAATATATGAGAAAACAAAAGTTCCTTAGAGCTGATCCGGCCAACCTTTAGTTGTATAGCTGTTAAAATTTTAATTGTCTCTCTCAGAGCCGAAAATAAGATTTAAATGGGATGTACTATTTAGTTCCTACTTGTTATACAATTTTTCTATTAATGAACGAATTTTAAGAAAAGCAACGAAAATATGTTCGGTCGCGGCAAGCTAGTGAGCTTTTTTCAATAGCTGTTGAAATGAAGTTTGATTGATTGAGGAGGTTCAATTTCATAGGTACATTTATTAATATAAACGAGTTGTAGTTTTGTACATATGTATGTGTGATTAGAACGATAGTTACAGCAGTTGAACAATCGCGAAAACGATAGCGAACGAGTTAGGAATGAGAACACCATGACTCAGCTTTGTTGCGTAAGGATTTACATATGGGCAGTGTAAACGAGAATGGACGTGTGAGACGCTTCTTACGCGTCAAAACTTTTATACCCGGCACTCAGTAGTACATCTGCACCTTAGCGGTTATTGGTCAAATTTTAAATTTTTTCTTCATCTGTCATCTACATCAACAACACTACTCACGCCAACACGCTCCTTTACCTCGTCACCCTCCCCTAGAGACACGCACAGCAGAGTGAGGGCAGAGACGCGGCAGAGGCAGAGACGTGTCAGAGGCACTGCGCGAAGCAGAGTGTGAATTTGAGAATGGGCAACAAACACATATAAGCTGCGGGACGGGGTGGGTTTAGCCACTGCAAATTAATTTCTTCATTGTGGCTTTAATAATGATCCAACCGGATCCCAATTTGGTGATCTGATAGATCTTGTCATTCCCACCGGAATGCAATTTTTTAGTTTTCTTTTATCTTTAATATTGTAGATTTGGGTGGTTTTCGCTCTTTTGCGTGGCCGGAAAGGGGACGGGGCTAATTTTTGAAATACACTGATTTCAGTGGGAGCATACAGCAGTCTGGATGCAACATTTGGTGGCTCTACCTCTTATGGTCTCTGAGAACAAGCCGACAAACAAGACGGACGGACAGACGGTCGGAAACGCTTCCTTCTGTGCCTTACATACCATTGTACCCTATTTACTCTTCTAGTAACGGGTATAAAAACGAAGAAATAACATTATTTACTTTAATGCTGCCCAACTAACTATGATCCAGAGATTACTGTCTAATATTAATTTTCGGCAGCCCGAATTCCTGTTAACTCTTAATAAAGATTTATAATAAATATTATATATGGCTTTTACAAAACAAAAGCAAACAAAATAGTGGTTACTGATAAGCAATAAGAAAGTGTTGTTGTTATCATGAACGACGACGAAGACGACACAACGGTTTGGAACTGGCAGAGAGTAAAATTGAAGTCAAAGGCAGTCAAGAGACAAAACCAAGTCTCTCCTATTCTACTAAAGAAAAAAATCACTCTGGACTTAGCACCCAGCACCAGCTCCAATCAATATGCCCTCCTAAGCGACAGCACGCCAAATAACGCAAATGAAGATGAAAACGAAGCACTGGACATGATAACTGAAGATAACTTAACTGAATCTGCCAAGCCGCCACCTATATTCTTATCTGAAGTCATTGATATAAAAGGAATGCTAGTTTACCTCGAGACTACAATTAAAAAAGAGCTTTTCTTTTATAAAGTACAACGCGATGGTCATGTGAGAGTTATGGTAAAGTCTATTGAAGAATACAGGAAACTTGTTAAAACTCTTACTAAAGATTCTGTCAAATTTCACACATACCAACTTAAACATGAGAGGGCATTCAGAGTTGTTATTAAGAATTTGCACTTCTCAACGGATATCGACTTAATCAAACAAGATGTGGAGTCCAAAGGTCACGCTGTTAGAAACATTAGTAATATTAAAAGTCGTGTAACCAAAGAGCCATTGAATTTGTTCTACTTAGACATTGAGCCCAACAATAAGAACTTAGATATATACAAAGTTAAACTCATTGGTAACGCAGTTGTTAATATAGAACCACCCCGTAAAACCAAAGAAATCGTTCAGTGTTATCGTTGCCAGGAATTTGGACACACAAAGTCATATTGTGTCAAAACTCACAGATGCGTGAAATGCTCTCTTAACCATCCCAGCAACGTTTGCCCAAAAGATAAAGAGCAACCAGCAAAATGTGCCAACTGCAACGAAGATCATGCTGCTAGTTACAAAGGGTGTAAAGTCTATCAGGATCTTATACCAAAAAAAATAGTAAGCGGACGCAACCACCAGAGAAACACCAAAGATGACAATAATAAAAATGACCATGGTACATATCAATCATTTGCTCCGTTTAATAATTCGACCCAACAACCCAAAGATTACCAATCATACGCTCAAGTTGCTGCAGGAAATAGTAACTCGAACAAGTCTCTAGAAAGTATAGAACAGCTTCTAGAAAAACAATCTCAACTTACCAATAATTTACTTAACATGATAATGTTACTTGTAAATAAGCTATGCAAATAAATCTAAACTTAGGAATATGGAATGCCAATGGGCTTTCCAACCATGTAAATGAAATAGCTTTATTTTTAAAAACGAATGCCATTGACGTCATGCTTATTTCAGAAACACACTTCACTAGCAAATCTTTTTTTAAAGTTACTGGATACGACACAGTAAGAGCTGACCATCCATCAGATAGAGCTCATGGAGGTGCTGCAATTCTTGTCAAGCAGGGCCTTAAATTTCAAATCATGGACAGTACTAGGGAAAACGCTATGCAAGCTGCCACAATTCAGATAAAATGTATGCACGCAGATGTATCAATAACAGCGATTTATCTCCCACCAAGATTCACAATAAAAGAACTCGATTTTAAAAACTTTTTCCAAGGACTGGGAACAAAGTTTATCGTGGGAGGCGACTTCAATGCCAAACATCCATGGTGGGGATCCAGATTAACTAACCCGAAGGGATCGGAGTTATACAAATGCATACGAAACAATAACATAACGACTTTGTCAACTGGTGTGCCCACATACTGGCCAACTGATAGTCGAAAAATTCCAGATTTGATTGATTTCATAGTATTCTCTGGAATCCCACAATCACACATGCGAGTAATGNAAGTTGCTGCAGGAAATAGTAACTCGAACAAGTCTCTAGAAAGAATAGAACAGCTTCTAGAAAAACAATCTCAACTTACCAATAATTTACTTAACATGATAATGTTACTTGTAAATAAGCTATGCAAATAAATCTAAACTTAGGAATATGGAATGCCAATGGGCTTTCCAACCATGTAAATGAAATAGCTTTATTTTTAAAAACGAATGCCATTGACGTCATGCTTATTTCAGAAACACACTTCACTAGCAAATCTTTTTTTAAAGTTACTGGATACGACACAGTAAGAGCTGACCATCCATCAGATAGAGCTCATGGAGGTGCTGCAATTATTGTCAAGCAGGGCCTTAAATTTCAAATCTTGGACAGTACTAGGTTCTAATTCAGATAAAATGTATGCACGCAGATGTATCAATAACAGCGATTTATCTCCCACCAAGATTCACAATAAAAGAACTCGATTTTAAAAACTTTTTCCAAGGACTGGGAACAAAGTTTATCGTGGGAGGCGACTTCAATGCCAAACATCCATGGTGGGGATCCAGATTAACTAACCCGAAGGGATCGGAGTTATACAAATGCATACGAAACAATAACATAACGACTTTGTCAACTGGTGTGCCCACATACTGGCCAACTGATAGTCGAAAAATTCCAGATTTGATTGATTTCATAGTATTCTCTGGAATCCCACAATCACACATGCGAGTAATGGAGAGCTTTGACCTTAACTCAGATCATTCTCCAATAATAGCAACTTACAGAACAATAGCCCATATGTTGGAAAAGCCCTATAAAGTAATAACAGCCTCTACAGACATTAACGCATTTAAAAGCCATTTAGATTCAGCTATAAGCCTGGACATTCCGTTAAAAACAGGAGAGGAGATAGACTATGCTGTGGAGCTTTTCACAAATACAATTCATAATGCGAGCTACAGAAACACGAATCATGCTCTTAATCATCAACAACCAAACCAATTGAACCTTTCAACCGATCTTCGACAAAAAATACAAAATAAAAGGAATCTGCGAAAACGCTGGCAAGAAACTCACTACCCTGCTGACAAAAGATTATACAACAAGGCTGCATCTGAGCTTAGACAACTGCTGTCGAACTTACGCAATGAATCTATAGCTGCGTATCTGAGAAACTTAGACCCTAATTCCAGCAACAACCTATGGAGGGCGACTAAATACCTAAAGAAACCAGATAAAAGAAACATAAATATTCGCAAAAACAAACATTTGCACAACATCTGCACTCTGTGTTTCAGCCAAACGATATAAATAATTATACAACAGAGACTGAAGTAGAAAAATTCCTTGAGTCACCTGCCAAATGAGCTTGCCTATTAAAAGCATTAAATATGAAGAAGTTGTGACAGAAATCAAATGCTTGAACATTAAAAAAGCACCAGGCCCTGATAAAATAGACGGTATCACCCTAAAAAGTTTACCACCAAAATGCATTCGGTTTCTCACTCTTATATATAACGCGATTCTCAGACTAGACCACTTTCCAAGTCAATGGAAATGTGCAGAGATCGTTATGATCCTAAAACTAAACAAAATAGAAACGGAATTGACATCATACCGTCCCATTAGTCTGTTGACAATTTTCTCGAAAGTGTTTGAAAAAATACTA